AGATAGCCTGACCAACATGGTGAAACCCTGTCTCTACTAAAAATACAAAAAATTAGCTGAGAATGATGACAGGTACCTGTAATGGCAGCTACTCAGGAGGCTGGAGCAGAATTGCTTGAACCCAGGAGGCAGAGGTTGCAGTGAGCTGAAATAATGTCACTCCAGTCCAGCCAGGCTGAGAGAGTGATACTGTCTCCAAAAAAAAAGAGACCCCAGGTGCCAGGTTTGGGAACTCATCTAGCCTGGATAGCTGACAAAGAGAGGGAAAGAGAAGCCCAGAAAAGGGAAGTCTTTTGCCCATTCATTGCCCCAGCTGATTGGAAGCTGAGTGAATGGAAATCAGGAACTGTGTCTCCCGATTCCTCATCTGGTCCCTTTTTCTGAGTTATTAATACTTGAGGCCAGGGGCAGTGGCTCACACCTGTAATCCTAGCACTTTGGAAGGCTGAGGCGGATGGATCGCCTGAGATCAGGAGTTTGAGACCAGCCTGACCAACATGGAGAAACTGTCTCCACTAAAAAATACAAAATTAGCCAGGCATGGTGGTACATGCCTGTAATCCTAGCTACTCAGGAGGCTAAGACAGAAGAAACCCTTGAACCCAGGAGGTGGAGGTTGCAGTGAGCTGAGGTTGCAGTGAGCTGAGATTGCACCATTGCACTGCAGCCTGGGCAACGAAACTGTCTCAGAAAAAATAAAAATAAAAATAAACTTGGATGCCATCTCACCGACCCATAACCTCCTACACAAATTCTCTCTCCAACACGCATGATGAGCAGTGTTGAAGTATTTCCTGTGTGGAGGAACTCAGCATGTGACAAGGACACACAATCCATTGCAGAACATCTAATTCTCCAGTGTTTTATTTAACCAAAATACTGAACAAGTGAAATCATTAGCCTGGCATACAGGGTCTTCCCTGATCTATTCCCCACTGATCTCTCCAGCCTCGTTTCTTACCAAGACCTCACTTGTACCGTCTCATCCAGACTGTGGTCCTGGGAGGTGGGTCTCATTTCTGCCTCCCCTCAACATCTGGCATGTGGGAAGTTCAAGGGTGAGTGAACAGGGAAGGACAGATGGGTGAATGTACGGTGTGTTCACAGAGCTCTAAAACCCAGGAGAGCCTCGCTGCCAGCAGAAATGAGTCCAGTGTCATACTTCTGTGCTCTATCAGCCAACCTGAAGACTATATTTGAAATGGAGTATCTACCACCAGAAATGCATTGTGTAAAACTCTGCTCAAAGGCACCAAAGTCACACAGGGCCTTCCATCTTGCTGATTCAAAGAGAATGCTGGCCAGGCACAGAGGCTCACACCTGTAATCCCAGCACTTTGGGAAGCTGAGGGGGGAGGATCATAAGGTCATGAGATCGAGACTATCCTGACCATGATGAAACCCCCTCTACTAAAAACACAAAAATTAGCTGAGTATGGTGGCACACACCTGTAGTCCCAGCTACTCAGGAGGTGGAGGCAAAAGAATCACTTCAACCCAGGAAGCAGAGGTTGCAGTGAGCCAAGATCACGCCACTGCACTGCAGCCTGGTGACAGAGCAAGACTCCATCTCAAAAAAAAAAAAAAAAAAGTATCCCTACCTAATGACTCTGCCCCCACCTCCCGTCTCACCCTCACTCTTCTCCCTGAAGAATGACTGGTCTCACCTTGTCCTACAGCTGCCTGCTCCCATCTCCCAGCTTTCTTTCCTATTTTTCGTGGTCTCAAATGAGAACTGATGTGCATCCAAATGGGATCACGTCTCTTGCCCCAGCTGGTGTTACAGTAATCCTCCCTTAACCGTGGGGCATAAGCTCCTAGACCCCCAGTGGATGCCACCTGCAAACCCTATCTATACCAAGTTTGTTCCTATACATACAAAACTGAAGTTTAATCTATAATTTAGGCAGTCAGATATTAACAACTAATAAACAATTATACCATAAAAGTTACATGAACACTTTTCCTCTCAGTATCTAGTTGTATTCACACTCGTGTGGGAGACAAAATGCCTAGGTGGTGAGATGAAAGGTGAATGACATAGGCAGGGTGACGTGTTAGGCTACTACTGACCTTCTGATGACACGTCAAGAGGATCTTCACTTTTGGGTGATCCCATACCACCGAGCCGTAACTTTCCAGACTGCAGCTGATGGTAACTGAAACTAGATAGGTGGGGACTGCTCTGTGTCTCCTGGACACCTTCCAAGATAGAGCCTCCCTGCACTGATCCTGGCTCTCAATTTCTATGTCATATGACTATACACTATCTGCTAATTCATAGAAACGAACGGAAGCCAGACAAGGAGATCATGGTCAACTTCCTCAGAGCTTTCAAGACAGAAGCTTCTTTATCCCCAACTTCCAGAACAGGGACTTCGCAGTTTATCAGTAAATGGGGAATTTGGCTAGCCATCTAACACTTGTTCAATAAACCCATGGCAACTGGCACCCTGCTGGTAGTCATGAGTTTTATAAACCATTATATGCACAGTGGAAAGTAGCTCAACAATGGTGTTGAGCCTGAAAAAAATGCAGTGTTTCAGTCCGATGATTCCATTCCAATCCCATTCCCACCACTTAATGGCCGAGACACTGGTAAGATGCTCAACTGACCTACAACCTTTCCAGCATGGGTCCAGTAAGACCTGCTTCTTAGATTTAAAATGCAGATTAAGAGATAGTCAGAGTGTAGGACATAGAGTGTAGACAGCACCTGTCTCAGCTCCACGAGAGCACCACGAAAGATGCCATCTTTAAGGGCAGCCTAAAATAAGCAACTTACCAGGGAAGAAAGGACGAGTGTAGAGTTGAAAGCTGCCTGATTACACAGGCACACCCAGTTACAAACAGAACTCATGGGTGTGGTGCTAGGGCAAGCTAAAAAGCAGCACCCAAAATATTCACTGCAGGTACCGTCTCAGAACCACCTCTAGCTTCTTTTCTCTCCACTCTTCAAAGATCCCTGCTATCTCTCATTTAAGCCACAGCTTCACATCCAGTACCAAGCTAAAGGAAGGGATGTGCTCCCTCACTGTTGATTCAGGTTAGTGTAAAGTCAACTTTGCATTTTATGGAGGCTCTTCCAAAGCCTGCTGATAGCACAGGGTATCCTGGTTACTGTCAAGGCCTACAATGTGCTGAGTCTCCCAAGAATCTTGAAGTTCAACAGCACAACCGTCCACAATTTGAGTTCCTGCAAGTCCCTGCTTCCTCACACACAACTGCTTAGCACGTTTCCAAACTTGTTCTCACAGTTGTTACATCCTCAGCCTCAACACAGCCTTGTGAGCCAGGGTAGCTAGCAGATACCCTTAGGAGCCCCACTTAAAGACAAGCTAACCCAAACAAGGGACCAGGTGACTTCCCCCAAAAAGCACCCAGATGGACTACATAGAAGAGAAGCAGGCAGAGGGGACACCAGACCAGAAGGTAGGTACAGGGCATTAGCTGGCTGTAGGGGCAAAGGCTTGGCGACTGGAGAACATCTGTCCCAAGGGATGCAGCCAGCCTGGAGCCCTGACAACTGTCATCACACAGGAAGATAGGCTACTATTGCTGCTGACATTTCGAAAGCCTGGAATCTAGACCTTTATGTAAAATTCGCCCATTTCCAAATGACATGCCTAAGAAAGCTCACAGCAAGACTGCGAGTTTTTCTGTAATATCCCAACTCAACTGGATCCCTTGGAAAAATAGACCCAGCCTGAGTTTCATCCCACTTCCCTTCCCCAGAGGCTGAAGTGAGCACAGCTCAATAGGAAAGCTTCCTCACTGTGACTTTGATGCCAACCTTCCTTCAATCATTCGGGCTCTCTGCAGCTATGCCCTTTGTCTTCACAGCACAAACTATTTCCTACCCTTCAGTTCTTGCTCGATTGCTTCCTTCCACTGTTCAACTTAGCGACCGCCCCCAGCTCCACATTCTATCCTGTCCCTGCAGCACTCAGGATCCTCACCACCTGGCCTCCACAAGCTGCTCACAGGGTGCCTTCTCTGCTTCCACATGCCAGCTCAGTCACAGGAAACTGCATCTCACACCCCAACCTTTGCTGCCCCCAGCATTATCTTCGGCCTGTATGCACTGTTCACCAATAAATGCCAAACACAAAGACCTCATCATTCCACACGTTCTGTATTAGTAAGCCGTCGGCTCCTAGCAAAGGAGTAACAGATTCCTCAGCTAGAAAACCCATAGGCCCAGAGGCCCCACAAACTGAAGTACACAGCCTCTCTGTAGATCCAAAAAACAGAACTCCAACCACCCCAGGCCAGCAGGTCCAACTTAACTCTTCACAGCCCTGCCCTCCCGTCTGTGGGTGCCTCATACAGGGGCTCTCACCATCTTCTCTCCAAAAATTCTACCACTCTTCCTTCCTGCAACCTCAACTCTTCTGCCTTCATGGTATTGCTTTTCCTGGGTCCCCTTTACTCCCAACCAAGTCTTTCAGTTCTCTACTGCTTCCTGAGATTTTTCCAGAGTTTATCTAGACATGGTATTTTAAAGACACTCTCAGTCAGATGTGGTTACTCATGACTGTTAATTCCAGCACTTTGGGAGGCTAAGGCAGAGGTCGCTTGAGCCCATGAGTTCAATCAAGACCAGCCTAGGTTAACAAAGTTAGGCCATATATATACACACACATATATATACATATACACATACACATACATACATACACACACACACACACACACACACACACACACCCCTACCTCACTGTAGCCTCAAGTTTCTGGGCTCAAGCTTAATCCTCCCACCTCAGCCTCCCAAAAGTGATTACTGTGAGGCACTACACCGTGTCCAGTGCAGACATGGTTCTTACACAGAATTCACAAGACCTGACTCCCAGTGGAACCCACTTAAACTATAAATCAATCAGCAGACACCACCCAGTACACTAAGTTTTCACTGAATGCTTAATGAAACATGTGAACTTAGGCAGTGACTGAAATCAGCAGACTAACTTCCTAGCACTCCCAGTAAACTGCAAATACACTTCGAACAACCAGACACACCAAGTTTTTAGTTTATTAAGCTTCTCGTGAAAAATCCACAACGGCCATAGATAACATCATTGCAGCATCTTTACTCCTTCGGCTGTGAATCAAGAGAAAGAAGTTTAGTCAGCAACTGCTTTTAAAATTCTTTAAAGTCTTAAATTCCAAAAGTATTAACATTCATGCAAAACAAATATTAGTTAACATCAAGTTATTTTTGCGTTATAACACAATTTAAGCATCAAGAAATGAAACGACAAACATTCAAGTTAGAAATGAAACAAAGAAAATGGGCTACATATTGCTAAACCTTAAAAACAAAACCTTGTCACTCGTATTTTAAAAGGTTACAACTATTTGGAATATTTGCATATCTACTTCAAAACGTATTACACACGATCTGCTTTTTAATTGTTACATCAGTACACCAAGGAGTCTAGTAATCTACATGACTACATGAAAAGCTTGAATTGTACCTGTGATCCAATCTCCAGCTCACTGAATCAGTGGCAGGGGAAGGGAAAAAGAGAAAGGAGGGAAAAGAAAGATTTCATTAATAGTCCCTTTTCAAACTCCAATATAATCTGCATTTAAGTGCATGCAACCAGGTGTACCTTAAAGATGGTTGTTTTGTTCTATGCAATTGTATACAGAGCACTGCCTCATCCAACACTCACTGATTTAATTCCCCCCAATTCTCACTAATATCTTGCCTGATTACTGTGGTTCTTATGCTAACAAGGTAGCTGCACAATGCAGAGATTATGCCAATGTGGTACCCAGAATGGCCTTGCCCACAGGTCAATGAAGTACATACCTGAGCTTCTGCCCCTCTGCTTTGCCCAGCAACACTGTGCTGGACACACACCAGGAACCGATGAGAATCATTACAGATTAAATTCTAATTGAACCGCAATGGGAGTGGCTCTAAATGATCAGGCAAGTCTTTTAAAAGCTGCCTCAGTTCAATACTTTAAAAGACACCATTCACAGCCACAACAGTAACACAAGTTAGTATTTAAAAAGAGGCATTAATTTAACTGTAAAAATACAACTGCTCTTCAGATATGAGACTACTAATGCCTTAGTATAAGTAACTTAGTATGGGCCGAGAACCATGGCTCATGCCTGTAATCCCAACACTTTGGGAGGCCGAAGCGGGCAAATCATGAGGTCAGGAATTCGAGGCAAGTCTGGCCAGCATGGTGAAACTCCATCTCTACTAAAGACAAAAAATTATCCGGGCATAGTGGCACACGCCTATAGTTCCAGCTACTCGGGAAGCTGAGGCAGGAGAATTGCTTGAACCCAGCAGGTGGAGGTTGCAGTTAGCTGAGACCACCACACTGCACTCCAGCCTGCCAGCCTGGGTGACAAAGCGACACTCCATCTCAAAAAGAAAAAAAAATTAACTTAGTATTTAACTCCACTGGATTCAAAAGACAAGAACAAATACCAATTCTAACATCTGAACAGAACTGTATTAAAAGCAACATTGTTATGGTTATTTCTTTGGAGCCAAACTATTTGTGTACCCAAATGCATCAATTTTTCCAGCTGGCTTTTCATAGCAGCGCTAGTAAGAGGTACAAGTGTAATCTGAGGGAGAAACAGTGTTGGCTCAGGTCCCCACGTGTAGCTCCTTCATACATGTGGGCTCCACAGGCTGAGCACACTAACTCATAGGACTCAAAGGCTGGATGAAGAGAAGAATCAATGTGTTAAATGTCCTTCAGACCTAGGTCAGAGGACAAATATTGACTAATTCTTTTTGCAACTTCTCTCAACAGGCACAATCCTCAAAAACAGGGAGCGGTTCTAAGTAGTGAGTAGTTCTGCTGGCAGTTCATTCATTACTAACTCCACGGTGATGGAACGTCAATGTGATTACAGTCCTGGCCAGGCAATCCCAGGTTTACTGCCTTGCCTGGCAAGGAATCATTGCAAAAGGAAGCCAGAAGAGCAATGGCCTTCACTGATTCAAAATCCCCCTAGGTTCACCCCACTCCTACCCCACTTTACACATTACAATTTTAGGCTGTTCGGATGTGCAAAATTTGCTTTAAATGCAGTAACAACCTGAGCACAGTGGCTCACATCTGTAATCCCAGCACTTTAGAAGGCTGAAACAAGAGGATCACTCAAGTCCAGGAGTTCAAGACCAGCCTGAGCAACATGGCTAAATCCTGTCTCTATAAAAGGTTAGCAGGGCATGGTGGCACGCGCCTATGGTCCCAGCTACGAGGGAGGCTGAAGTGGAAGAATGACCCAAGCCCAGGAGGTCCAGTGAGCAATGATCATACCACCGTACTCCAGCCTGAGAGACAGAGAGACCCTGTCTCAAAAAATAAAATAAAATGAGGTAATGGGCCATTCTGACCAAGTGCTTGTGGGAAAAAGTGTATCCACCAAAGACTTCGATATGAATACATAATTACACACAAATTTTCTATTAAATAAAAAAGACACCAGACAGAAAACTGGAGACCAAGTAATAAAAAGCAATGGAAATGGTAAAAGGCAGCTCTGAGGGTATCTAAACAGGACAGAGGCTTTGCCGGATTTCACAGATCAGTGTATGATCAGAGCTGCCAGGCTGGTTTCATGGCTCCAAAGACTGCTCCTTGGATAGGAGAGCCCTTCCCAAGCCCAGTGGTAACTGAAGCCACTTCCTAAGTATGGGGACACAGTGTTTCCCAAGTGCAAGCTAAAAGGTGCCTACTGGTAAAGCACTCACCTTCCTCCAGTGAGTCACTTCACATGTAACATGCATTTCGGAGTTTTCAAAATAAACATGATTTTAAAAGTTTTCTCCTTTGCTCATAATATTACCTTAAAACTCATCAGGTTGGTGCAAAAATAATTGCAGTTTTTGCCACCGCAATTTCTTTTGCACCAGCCTAAATAACACTGGCATTATAATCAACCATACTCTAAATCTGTAAGGCCAACATGCAAAGCATCAACGCAAACTCAGTGAAGGTGATGCATCCCCACACCGTGCTTACAATCTCAGTACCTGCTAGACACTTCATTTCTGATGAACAAGAAATCCAAGAAAGTAGAGAGGAAAAGCAAAAAAAAAAATTCACAGAACACTTGATTATTTGTTAATTTAACAACCCAACACCTTAATTCCATTCAATGATTTACAATGTCCAACTATTTACAGCTAGCAAAGCTGGTAAAAAGCCCCTGATTGCTAAAATCACTTGTCTTGGCTAACTGGAGAGGAAAGCAATCCTGAGATCTCAGCTGCCTCTCCAGTGTGCCAGGAATACACGGGCCACATTGATCCAACTGCTTCTTAAACCAACGTCTGTATTAGTAAGTAAAATCCCAGGGAACAAGATCTGCTCTGCATTGAAGGGTCTATGCCAATTAGTAAAATTAAAACTTCCTGTGATAGGCTTGAAAGGTGCCCACCAGGATCAATGAACCAATGTGGCCTCCAGATTGTGCTGTGAGCTGATAAGGGGTGGGCCAAGCTACTCTACTGAGGTGTTAAGACACCATGCTACACAGTTTCTTAAAACGTTACCTTCTGTAATCCAGAAGAGGGGAAAAAAGAAACATTAAGTTATTAAAAAGAAAAAAACAAAATCCCCTTCCTAGAAACTAAAGACCTACAATTAATGACGTTTCTGTGTTTTCCTTGATGAACTATACCTTTTTGCCAGCACCAACATTGGCCTTTGCAGTCCCCCTGACTTTCTTCATTCTGTTCTTGCGTTCCTTTCGTTGCTTTCTTGAGGTCTTTTTCTTCTCATACAGGCCATGCTGAAGGAGAAAGGAATACATTCAAGTGACTTGCAAACATTAAAATCATTACCCACCACTCTGGTAGGGAAACTGATCTTAAGACACACAGCTGGCCAGGCGCGGTGGCTCAAGCTTGTAATCCCAGCACTTTGGGAGGCCAAGGCGGCTGGATCACGAGGTCGAGAGATCGAGACCATCCTGGTCAACATGGTGAAACCCCGTCTCTACTAAAAATACAAAAAATTAGCTGGGCATGGTGGCACGTGCCTGTAATCCCAGCTACTCAGGAGGCTGAGGCAGGAGAATTGCCTGAACCCAGGAGGCGGAGGTTGCGGTGAGCCGAGATCGCGCCATTGCACTCCAGCCTGGGTAACAAGAGTGAAACTCCGTCCAAAAAAAAAAAAAAAGACACACAGCTTTCCAAACCGAAACTTTTACGTACATTTAATACATGTTTTTGCTGGAAAAGAATCATCAACGGATTTTAAGTATGAATACCCTCACAGGAAACAAACGGTCCACTCAACACTCTTGTCCACACTTGAGCCCACAGGTCACTATGTTCTCTTCTTTTGGCACTACCAAAACAAGGTACCTCTCAATGGCTGAAGGATCTCTTCCCATTTCAACTCCCCATTACTCCCTGATGACAGAGAAGCCTTTACCACCCCACACCACAAAGATTCCAATCTACCCACCTCCACTCTGCCCACCTTTGCACTTGCTGTTCCTGGGGCCTACAAGACTGTTTCCGTATCTTTACAAAGACTACCTCCAAATCCTTACAAGGATCTCAGCTTCAATGTCACCTCCTCACCAAGATCTTCTCAGACCGTGAACGCAAACTCAGTTAAAAATAGTGCAACTTCTATGACATCACCAGGATTTTCCCTCATGGCTATTGTATGGGAAGATTTATCTAACAGGAGGGGGTAAGGTGGGTTAAACGAACAAACAAGCATTTCAAGGTAATGATGCTTACTTATTTACTAGAATGTAAGCTGGGGGGCTTGCCCAGTTCACTGTAGTTCACTCAGCCATGTTTGGCACTCAGTATGAAATCAAAAACCTTTCCTGGTTCCTGGCTACCTATGGGATTAAGTCCAGACTCAGACTTAATCCACACTAAATGAATTTGGTGCCAGGCTACCTTTGCAAACACATCCCTCTACTTTCCCTCTGGAAAACAATGCTTATCCCTAGCCCACCTCCAAGAACACTACTTCAGCTGCCCTTCTGAACTCAGCTCAAATGCCAGGCTTCAATTCTGAACCTCCTTACTCTACCTATGCACTATATCAAAGAACTTTTTCTCTCAATCCCTTCAGAGTTCTTTGTCCATCTGTACACTGACCCTCCCAGATTGCTCGGTCTTGCCCATTTTACTACACACACAACACAACACTATTGGAAAAAATAGGTATTCGGTAGCTGATAAATGAAAAGACACCTACTCTTGCAAGTCTATGTTTGGGTTCATTTTTCTTTGCATAATCCAGGGAATCATAAATCATGCCAAAGCCAGTTGTCTTGCCACCACCAAAATGAGTTCTGAATCCAAATACAAAGATGACATCCGGTGTGGTCTTGTACATTTTGGCTAGTTTTTCCCGAATTTCTGTCTTAGGCACTGTTGCCTTCCCGGGGTGAAGGACATCAATGACCTAAAAGGAGATACCAAGTTTAGCGTTCACTGTAATAAAACAGATCTTCAGAACAAAGGACCTCAACAAAAGTTGATGTGCCCTTCCTTACCATTTGTTTCCTCTGAAGCAGTCGGTTGGTCATGAACTTTCTAGTGCGGATAGTTACTGTGTCGTTCTGAAAGCATAAACACTCTAGTTAATAAAACTACTCAACCTTCCCTTGACCTTGTTGTGATATTCCAAGACCTAGTTGCAGTCCAACTTGTAGCCATTAGCCATGTAGCGAATTCAAGTAAATACCCATTGTGCAGGGCCAAACTCACAGGCTAATACATAAAATACCAAGAAAATACAGTAGTTTACATAAAATCTGTACATCTCACTTTATTAGGTTATGTTTATCACTCTGGGGCAGGGTTTCTGAACCTCACCACTACTGACATTTCCATATGGATAATTCTTGTTGTGGGGACTGTATGTTAGAACAAACAACTATAAAAATCCCAGGCCTCTAACCACTAGATACCAGAAGCATTTCCCACCCTTCCCAGTTTTGACAATCAAAAATGTCTCCAGACTTAGCCAACTGCTTCCTTAGTGGAAAAATCACTCCAGGTTGAGATCAATTCTCTGGAGTAAAAACTTCTGTGGCTCACATAAACGTCACATTCAAAAAACTGTGTTTATCATGTCCCGCACAAATATGACCCAAACCTTGCACTTACTACCTGCATGTCATCCACGCTAGAACGGCCATGGCAGAGATCAGAAAACGATTTCCTTCTTAAGGACTTAACTGCACCTTTACTTAATATCGTCCAAAGAATGTGGGCATTAAGCAATTTACGCTAACAATTTTACCAAAAAGGAGGGGCACGAGACTTTCATGGTAGCAAATGACTTGCTAGACTTTCTCCATTTTACTTTGAGAAACCACACCAAATTAAACCCACGTCGGTGGTACTCAATTCCTTAAAGTAAAAGATCAAAGGTAAAGAAGAAGGAAAAAAAAAAAAACAGCTTGCAGGTAAAGTTACAACCGGATGCTGGAGGAGCTAACAACGTATGACTTAAGAGCAGGACTACCTTTTGGTAACATCCCTTTGCAGGGCCTCCGTTTCCCCAGTAAGAAACAATAAGATCTATTCAGATGACAAGTTTTCTAGCTCACACGTGGGAATGGTTTCACTTGCCGCAACTCGCCCAGGCGCTGCCGGCACCTTCTTCACCTCTTGGGCTGCCATCACTTGCCAGCCGTCTACCTAGCCCAGTTTGGAACTGCAGAAGAGATGTGCCTCCCAGTGCCTGTCTATCCACTCCCCGCCATCCACTGTGCTCCACGAAGTCGACAGAAGCAGCCGCTCCTGCAACGCCTAGGCACTGGAGACCGAAGCCCGGCGTGTTCGGTTCCGCAGCGCAGCCCGCCAGCCCCGACTCCCTGACAACAGCCCCGAGGCCCTCGACAACCATCCTCCGACAGAAACGGCCAGAGAAGAGCAACCGGGCTTCGCGTGCCTATAGCTCAGATACTAGGACCCGGGGACCAAGGATGACTCGGATACGCGGCAGATGACTTCCCGGGCCCAGAGAGACTCACCATGATGGCGGCCTATCCTTACGAAGCCGGGGAGGGAAAGAGAGCCACAGCTCGCCGGCCAATCATATCAACGCGCACGGAAGGACCCCGGGAAGCGCCGGCGTGGGGGCGTGGCCAGGCCGAGGCTATCCGCGCCGGTGCCTGATTGAAGCTGCCTACGGGCCTCACCTCGCAGACCTTTGGCCACACCACTGGGACTCTGAACTGGCCAATCCGGAGGCAGAACAGCTCGAGCCGAATACGCAAGCACGTGTTCAATTTCAGTTCGATTCATTACGTTGAATTGCACATACTTGAATTGCGGTCAACCAAATTAGTTTAAATTGCCTTCTTCGGAGTTAGAGGTGGGTAAACCTGGAAAACATTTTGGAATATCCTCTGGAGCAGCCTCCTCGTTATACAGCTAGAGAAACTGCAGGAACCCCTGACTTTAAAACCTTTGTTATTTCAAGTAGGCAACATTGCCCATTCTAATTTGTTATTCATAATTATTAATTTTGGGGACTTTCATGAGTCTCTACTTGAAAATAAATGATCTCTTTCATTTGTATTTTTCTGCAAATCTTGGTTCTTATGCAAAATTAGCTTTTTTTTTTCCACCCAGGCTGGAGTGCAATGGCATGATCTCGGCTCACTGCAACCTCCACCTCCCAGGTTCAAGCGATTCTCCTGCCTCAGCCTCCTGAGTAGCTGGGATTACAGGTGCGTGCCACCGCGCCCAGCTAAAACCGCGCCTGACCGCAAAATTAGCTTTTAAAAAATATTTGGCTGGGCTCCATGGCAACACCTGTAATCCCAGCACTTTGGGAGGCTGAGGCGGGCGGGTCAACTGAAGTCAGGAGTTAGATACCAGCCTGGCCAACATGGCAAAATCCCGTTCCTACTAAAAAAAAAAAAAAAAAAAAAAGGCCAGGCACGGTGGCGCATGCCTGTAATCCCAGCTATTCCGGAGGCTGAGGCAGGAGAATCGCTTGAACCTAGGAGGCAGAGATTGCGGTAAACCGAGATCTCGACATTGCACACCAGCCTGGGCAATAAGAGTGAAACTCTGTCTCAAAAAAGAAAAGAAAAGAAGGAATAAAATATATTTGGTTGATCCAGAAATATTTTCCTTAATGTGAAATAGATATGTAAAGAATGTAAATATACATGTGCTGGAGAAACAGTAAGAAGAATTTCCCAAATGTTAATGCAGAGGAGGAGTCCAAGGTGCAAGCTTTTCAGGCTGCTTTCCTGTTTTCTTTTTCTCTTCTATTTTTTTTTCTTTTTTTTTTTTTTTTTGAGACGGAGTCTAGCTTTCGTCACCCAGGCTAGAGTGCAATGGCTTGATGACGGCTCACTGCAACCTCCACCTCCCAGGTTCAAGGGAGTCTCCTGCCTCAACCTTCTGAGTAACTAGAATTACAGGCATGCACCACCACGTCCGGCTTTTTGTATTTTTAGTGGAGACGGGGTTTCTCAATGTTGGCCGCGCTGGTCTTCAACTCCTTACCTCAAATGATCTGCCGGCCTAAGCCTCCCAAAGTGCTGGAATTACAGGTGTGAGCCACCATGCCCCATCAGCTATTTTCTTAAGAATAAGGATAGGCCGGGCGCGGTGGCTCAAGCCTGTAATCCCAGCACTTTGGGAGGCCGAGGCGGGTGGATCATGAGGTCAAGAGATCGAGACCATCCTGGTCAACATGGTGAAACCCCGTCTCTACTAAAAATACAAAAAATTAGCAGGGCATGGTGGCGCGTGCCTGTAATCCCAGCTACTCAGGAACTTGAGGCAGGAGAATTGCCTGAACCCAGGAGACGGAGGTTGCAGTGAGCTGAGATCACGCCATTGCACTCCAGCCTGGGTAACAAGAGCGAAACTTCGTCTCAAAGAAAAAAATAATAAGGATAGTTGGCCACTACAGGCATGAGTTGGCAGTAGCTCATGCCTGTAATCGTAGCACTTTGGGAGACCTAGGCAGGCGGATCACCTGAGGTCATGAGGAGTTCAAGACCAGCCTGACCAACATGGTAAAACCCTGTCTCTACTAAAAATACAAAAAATTAGCCAGGCATGGTGGTGCATGCCTATAATCCCAATTACTTGGGAGGCTGAGGCAGGAGAATTACTTGAACCTGGGAGGCAGAAGTTGTAGTGAGCCAAGATGACACCATTGCACTCCAGCCTGGGCAACAGAGTGAGACTCCGTCTCAAAAAAATAATAATAAAAAATAAGGATAGTTAATACTGAGTGCACCCTAGGCCAAAGCTCGAGTTCTCCTGTTACGTTCTAATTAGTTTTACCTTCATTTTGTTGTTTAACCTTCCCACGGACTCTAAGAGATAGGGTACCTATTACTTACCCATGTTATAAATGGGGAAACTAACACACAATAAGATTAAATAACTTTCCCAAGGTCACACAACTTTATTTATTTATTTATTTATTTAGAGGCAGAGTCGTACTCTGTCACCCAGGCTAGAGTGCAGTGGCATGATCTCAGTTCACTGCAACCTCCGCCTCCCGGGTTCAATTGATTCTCCTGCCTCAGCCTCCCAAGTAGCTGGGATTATAGGTGTGTGCCAACATACCTGGCTAATTTTTGTATTTTTTAGTAGAGACGGGGATTTCACCATATTGGTCAGGCTGGTCTCGAACCCATGACCTCTAATCTACCCACTTTGCCTCCCAAAGTGGGATTACAGGCGTGAGTCACATGCCCAGCCTACACAACTTTAAATGGTGGAAGGTAGACTCCCATGATGGCACTGTGATTTCGGAACTTCAGCTCTTACCCTCTAGATCAGGCGTCCCCAAACTACGGCCCGCGGGCCGCATGCAGCCCCCTGAGGCCATTTATCCGGCCCCCCCGCCGCACTTCAGGAAGGGGCACCTCTTTCATTGATGGTCAGTGAGAGGAGCACAGTATGTGGCGGCCCTCCAACAGTCTGAGGGACAGTGAACTGGCCCCCTGTGTAAAAAGTTTGGGGACGCCTGCTCTAGATGATACGTCACCCACGATCCAAACCTCGTTGGTATAGTATTGTCAGCATTATTCCAAAGACACATTAAGTGATAGACTACTGAAATAGATTAGTAAAACCTGATATGCCTTGTTTTTTGTCTGTGACATTGTGTTTTGCTAGCGAGGATCTGAAAATGAGATAGCATCCCTTCTTAAATTGAAAGTTGTTAAACATTTTGTTATTTTTTGAGTTTCTCACAAATAATGAAGAATAAGTTCTGGGTTTTATAGTGCTGAGCCCTGGGGTAATGTGATTTCCTTGCTAGTCCAGTGCATTAAGACATCACACTAGGATGACCTCCCACCAGTTGTCACAGACTATAGACTATTTCAAGATATGAATGATCTTTACTTTCCATTCTCCCTTTCCTTCTGTAGATCACCATGGCTATTTTCACTCTAACAGATTTTCAGCTGTTTTCGTAATCAAGAATATAAGTTTAATTCTTTCTCCCCTCCCCCCAAATAACGTCATGTACTGGAGGCACATGTGTGCCCGTATTTTCTGCTCTGTTTATTTTTCCTTTGTTGGTCCTCAAGACAGTGCCCTGTGTTGCATGGACAGGTTCGTTTTAGCCTCCACCTTCCCTTAAACAATTAGGCTCTTGATTTAAATGGTACTAATGTAAATGATGATTTTTCATTTTATTCACGTTTTGGCCCTCTGCCTGTCTAAAAGTCTTGAGGCACAGAGTTACACGCTGCTTCTCCGCAAGCGTCTGATGACCTGGAGAAGTTGACCAGAAATGGGATTTTTAAAATACAGTGCAGGCCTCGGTGCTATTTCCCGGAAGCGCCACCAGGTGACGGTGCAGGGAGAGGGGGAAAAAAAAAAAAAAAAAAAAGCGGCACGCCGGAAGTCTCTCTTGACAGACAGATGCGCCGGCGAGTAGCGGAAGAGGAAGCGGACACGTGGGCCGCTCTACGGTGGCCGAGAGGATGCTGCCGATGTGCTAGAGGCCAGTCCAGAAGCAGCCCCAGAAGGTTCGGAGGGCATCGTTTCTCGAATCTGGCCTCTCGAGTGCCAAGGAGGCACCCTGGCAGCCGTCATCATGGTGAAGGAGCAGTTCCGGGAGACGGATGTGGCCAAGAAAATGTAAGATGGAGAAAGGGTGGCCAAAGGGCGGAGAAATAGGGCAAGAGGTCCGAGGTCAGCGGTCCCGGGTCTTGGAGGGTCAGAGATGGGGTCCAATGGGAAGGGGAGGGCCAAGTAGTCCCACAGGTGTGAGCAACGCCCAGAAGTACCGGCGTAGGTCAAAGAGCATTGGTCAGGCCGAAGGGATTCAGCACCTCGATAGGTCCCTGGACTGGGGCGGAGAAGGCAGAATGGTCTGAGCCTTAATAATTCGTGCACCCTGTGCCAAAGCTCGCGTTCTCCTGAAGTCCTACGATGACCCCTGTTCTTCAGCGAACCTATCCCCTGCTGCAGCGAGGGGAGCAATCTGGGGCAGAGACTTGTCTCTAATTCGGTCAGCTGCAGAGCGTCTGACAGGGAGGCAGGAGTTGCTCACCAAAAGGATGGGGTTGCCAACTAGAAAGCTGTACCGCAGGCCGACGGATGGCAGTGTCAGAAATGAGGCTGCTGTATTCGGGGCTTTTGCCTTCAGAAAAGCCTTATGAGGCGGTTGTTCCTTCTTACAGTTCTCATTGGGAAATTGAATCCAGCCGGGCGCGGGGTGGCTCAGGCCCGTAATCCCAACACTTTGGGAGGCAGAAGCGGGTGAATCTCCTGAGCTCAGGAGTTCGAGAGCAGCCTGGGCAACATGGCGAAATCCCGTCTCTAACAAAAATACAAAAATTAGCCGGGCATGGTGGCGCGCGCTTGTGGTCGCAGCTACTGGGGGAGGCTGAGGCTGGAAAAAACATGAAAAACATATGAGCCTGGGAGGCAGAGGTTGCAGTGAGCCAACCTCCTGCACTCCAGCCTGGGTGACAAAGTGAGATGCTGTCTCAAAAAAAAAAAAAAGGCGGCGGGAGAGGGAATTCATCATTCTTACAGCAGACACTGAGGAGGGTACTTCGTGTTACACCCACCCGGTGTTGGACGTTAAAGATAGGATCCGAATAAAACTTTTGCT